TCTCTCCCCACATTATTATCATATTGCCACATATATATATTTTTTATGTTCGTTCACAGGGCATATGTGTAGATACGTTGGCATTGAATTTAACCAATTTGGATTAGTTGAGTTTGGATGTGAGGAGGTATATTTTGCAACGTTAGTCTGATTACTAAGAAATTAAATGCATAAAATCATGTGGAGAAAGACTGGTTATTAAGAAATGAAATGTACGAAAGCGTGTGGGGAGTGAGACGAGTTACTAAAAAATAAAATGTAAAAATATCATGTGGAGAGAGACTGGTTACTGAGGAATGTGAAGTAAGGAAGACATGATTTGTTTCCAAGGATTTTAACCTTCGGACTGTGTGGTCCAGGCGGACTCCAAAAGACAGAGATCCCGACCAAGATCAAGCTCTGCCACGAGGAATGGGTGCCGGACTCCGGACTGGTGACCGCGGCCCTGAAGATCCGCCGCAAGCCCATCGAGAAGTTCTATGAGAAGGCCATCCAAGCCCTGTACGCCGAGAATTCCTAGACCACCTCACTCTGTTTCCTATATTTATATCATGTTTAAGTACTTTGTAAAGTTGTTGTTGAATAAATGCCTTTGTTATACTGTGTGCTAAGTGCTTTTCCAAACTTATGTTTGCCTTTAAAACAATTAGTGAAATTTCTCATGAGCTGGCTATTTATGATACCAGAAAGAAAAGTTTGTATTATAGATGGAAGATCCAAGTGTAGAAAAAAAAAAACTTTGCACGTCTTTTCAGTATCAATACTGCTTAGAACGAGTTTGTTTGCTTCTTTGATTTTATCATTGTTAGAAGTGTGGAATTTATTGGAACAGTCGCTGTCCATCACACAGATGACCGTTGACACGTGTCCAAGACTGTAACTCACCTTGTACTAATATGATGTAACCTCCTCCCAGTTGTCTATTCTACATGTTATTTTTCTTCCCCTTTGATTTTCTTTAATAATGTGGTTAACGGGATCCTATTATATCAATCAGCTTTCTTGCTTCAAGTCACTCGTTAAATTTTCCAATAATTATTTTTACATTTAAATTCATTTATTTTAGAATAAATTGAAACGATTTCTGGCTCGTGTATGTTTCTTTTTAAAATAAAGTCTACTGCCCTTACTGCAATGATAAAATAATTGGCGAAACCACTGATGTGCCAGGTCCTCCTATTATTTTATCATTGTAGCAAGGGCAGTATAAAATTGTTTTATTTTTAAAATAATATATATATTATGTATTTATATATGTAGTGGCAGGGATATGGCGGAGTCTTGTCCATGGTGGTGGAAGATGTCCTGCTCTGGCACGGTGATCGCTCTTGGGCAGATCTAGTGCTGGGATAAGTGTGCGACAGGTTCATCTCTGTCGTAGGTGATCACTTCTTCCGGATCATAGTTCAAAAGTTGGCGGAGGCAGAGGGTGATAGCACGAAGAGAAATGGGTACAGTTGAGTTGGTTGTAAATTCTTGTGGAACTTGGCTGTGGGTTTGTCCGTTCATCGTGGTCTTGTTTCTTGTTTTCTTCATACTCTGGCATATGAGGGATTTGCTTCCCGGCCAGGTCTTATCCTGTCGACTTTTAGTGTGGTATAATATAATAAGGTGGGGAAAGAGAAATAAGGACACCACAAGTTGGAGAAGGAACCCAGGCAACCAGAGAGAGAGGGAGAGAGCCGGGCGGCCGTTCGTTGTCGCCCACAATTCCCAACTGTCTTAATAGTCCAGAGAACTCACGGGCCCCTCTGGTCGCCCCTTGGAATGTCGCTGGTGTCTTAAATGACCGGACTTTAGCTGCCCGTCTCTCTCTGGGTTGACTGTAGGTTTGCTTTATTATTCCAGGAAGAGTATATATTATGACATATATATATAAAAGATGACGCGCTAATGCATCATAAAAATTATTCCTAGCACACGTGGTGCAGGCCATGATAATCATGGTGGATAGTAGTTGGCGACTGCTTTTACTGCAAGTGCTTATGTCTACACATGTGGAAATAAGACTTTTGCATTTATAAGTGTGCCAGAGCCCCAGTTTGGTTACTTTTGCAAGAATCGGGAGCCCTAAATTTTAGTTTTATTTTTTTTTTTCAAAGTGCCCAATGCGTGATTAGATCCCGGGTCGTGGCTGTCGAAAATAGACTTATAAATGTTTATTCCCACAGGCCCATTTATATATATAATAAAAAAATGGGGAGAAACTGGTGTCCAGTTAGGCAACAAGCCGCCGAAGGTATTATTTAGCTAGGTTACGTTAGTTTATGTTATTTAAAAATAAGGAATATTTTCGTAGTATACATTAGGCCTAGAGCGGAATAATACAATTGGTGGCACGTTTTCACTCGGGCCGCTAAAAGAAGTATCTCAACAATACCTATTCTAAAACCTAATGAATCATTATGTGCTGAGAACATGTAAGAAAACATCTATGTATGTTTTCCCACGTGACGCAGCGGAGCGTGACCTCGGCTGCACGGGTGAGTCAGTTGTTGTTTTGCTCTCTGTATAGATGGACATTAAAACATGGTGGCAGCGATAACTGGATAAAATACGAACCCGTATATTGCAAAATATCGATTTTTGCGTACCTTGGAAGATAATTCAAAATGGCTCAGATTCAACCTCCAGAAACTTTCGACTTCTCGACTCCCAACGAATGGCCCAAATGGAGGAAGAGATTCGAACGATACCTCGTGGTCAGTGGAATGAAGAAGAAAGAGGAGGCGGACAAGATCGATTTGTTCATGTACTTGATGGGCGACCGCGCGGATGATATATTCAGGACCTTCAAGTTCGAAAAGGAGGAAGAGGCAACGAAAATTGATTCCGTCCTCAAGGCGTTCGACAGCCACTTCTGTTGCAGAAAGAATATTATCTACGAACGTGCGAAATTTAATTCAAGAATCCAAGAGGATCGGGAGCCAGTGGACGAATTCATCACTTCATTGTACAAATTGGCTGATAGTTGCGAATTTGAGGGTCTTCATGAGCAGTTGATCCGTGACCGAATTGTGGTTGGAGTGAGGGACAAAGCTTTATCTGAAAGAATGCAGTTGGACAGCGAACTGACTTTGGAAAAGGCGGTGAAAATGGTTCGACAGCAGGAAGCCGTTCGACAGCAGCAAGTCGACCTGCAGCGTCCCTCAACAAGCCAAAAGGTCAATCAGGTGAAGTTCAACTCGAAGAAGCAATCACCGAAACAACAACAGCAGCCTTCGAGGAAGAAGGAGAAGTCAGCCAAAACAAGATCACGATGTCCAAAGTGCGGAGGTTTCACCCACAGGGAAGGACAGGCTTGCCGTGCTGAAGGACAGAAATGTAACCTGTGTTCAAAAACAGGCCATTTTGCAAATTGCTGCCCGGATAAGCAGGCGAAGACTGCGGAAGTCAAAGCTGTTTCTGAACTTGATGAAGAAATTGGTTTTCTCCTGGATGTCTCAGCTGTGGAGGATTCATCTAATCTCGATGATGATGAAGGCGAGTGCAGGAGAAGATGGACAGCAGAAATCCAAGTGAACGGGAAAAAGGTGAAGTTCAAGCTCGACTCCCAGGCGGATGTTACATGTGTTCCTCTCTGTCTCTTCAAGAAGATAATGGGACAACAACGACTGGTGGAAAGTGATATCAACCTTAGAGCTGCTGATTTTTCCGAACTTCAGACTGTGGGTATGTTTGTATCAACGCTGCGAAATGGCAATTATGAAATCAAGGAGAAGATTTATGTCATTCGTCGTTTGAGTGAACCTCTTCTGAGTCGCCGGGCATGTGAGCTCTTGAACCTGGCGAGGCGGATTGAAGTGGTAGCGACGAGAATTAACCCGATCAAGGAATTCCCTGAAGTATTTGAAGGACTGGGACAGATCGGAAACCCTTACGAAATCAAATTGAAACCTGGAGCAAAACCATATGCTGTGCATACTCCTCGACGGGTACCAATACCTTTGATGGAAAAGCTCAAAACAAGATTGGAAGAGCTCGAGAAGGCGGGAATCATAGCACAAGTTAACGTTGCGACTGAATGGTGTGCACCGACTGTGATTGCTGGTAAACCGAATGGCGACATACGACTCTGTGTGGATCTCTCAAGGCTGAACGAACATGTACAGCGCGAAGTGCATCCCATGCCAGTGGTGGAGCACATGCTGGGGCAACTGGGGGAAGCAAGATTCTTTTCGAAACTGGACGCGAACAGTGGCTTTCACCAGATTCCGTTGAGCCCGGACTGCCAGCATTTAACGACCTTCATCACTCCTTTTGGGAGATATAAATACTGCAGGATGCCATTTGGAATCTCACTCGCCCCAGAGTATTTTCAGGGAGTTACAGTGCAATATCCAGCCGACCCATCGACGCCGACCTTTTCGGGGGAGGAACTGGTTGAAATTGAAAAGACCCCAGTTGTGGATTATCCCTCTAACGACTCAGAAGACGGCCAGATAAGAACCCGGAGTGGACGAATTGTTAAACCTGTGGATCGCCTTCATTATTAATTATATTATGCATTTAAAGTTTGTAATGTATATATATATTTCAAGTCTTAAAAAGGGGGATGTGCTGAGAACATGTAAGAAAACATCTATGTATGTTTTCCCACGTGACGCAGCGGAGCGTGACCTCGGCTGCACGGGTGAGTCAGTTGTTGTTTTGCTCTCTGTATAGATGGACATTAAAACACATTATTTTAAATAATATATAAATACAAATATATATATATACATTTCAGTTGGTTTTAATTTTAAAACTCATTATAATATTCACTACATCTCACTTTGATTTCCTTTTTTTTTTAATAAAATAGTTATATTTTTGTCTGATAGATGGCGGTAGCTCTGTCTCCCAGACAATTGCTTGGAGAACTACATTTTTTCGTGCTTGAACACCTATTTTTACTTCAAAGAATACTTATAAATTAAAAGTAGAAAAATTGTAGTAGTCTCATTTCTTTTTAAAATATATAGAACTTAAATAAACAAAATAAACTAAATCTCTCCCCTACGGCCATTCCACGTTGAAAACACCGGTTCTCGTCCGATCACCGAAGTTAAGCAACGTCGGATCCGGCCACTACTTGTGACCACCTGGGAACACCGGGTGCTGTTGGCTTCTTTTTTTTTTGAATATATTTTCAGCGCGCAGACACTAAAATATTTTTAATATTAAATTTTCTGTACACACACAAAAAAAAAAACATTATTTAAAGAGAGTAGCTAGTAAAGAAAGGTATATTAAATTCAATACCTTTTGTAGATAAGTCGGTCTATCATAGAACCTCTTATGAGAGACCGTGTCCCAAAACATGGATATTTGCTGGTTTCAGTGAGAGAGGATTGTTGCCAGGGATGGTTCCACCAACTGGGGAAGTAAATATTAGGTTTCTATAGTAGAGTTGTGCTTGGGGGAGTGGTGATCTCAGCTCGACAACTTCCCGTAGTCATAGTCAGAATCTATCTACAAGTAAAACCTCCCATAAGCAACCTCCTCCCTGAACGACAATTCTTGTAAAATAAAAATGGCGATCTGATCCACAACCTCCAATCAGAGACCATCTTATTTGAGACCAGCAATATCCATGTTTTGGGACACGGTCTCTCATAGGAGGTTCTATAGTAGACCAGATTTTTGTTTAGTCAGAGAATCTGGTATTTTTATATCTCGGTAAAATATAATAAAAATTAATAATTAAAATATATTTAAAATTACTGTCAACGTGTTTCTTTTTTATTTTTAATTAATATCAAAAATGTAATCTATACAGATCTTACTGCAATGATAAAAGTTATTGAATGAGAGGGCTTGGCTCATCAGTGAGGAGCCCTCTTAATCTCCAGACCGCTCTACTATTGGATTGGTTTTATTATATACCCTGCATCTTCTAAAGAAGGCAGCTTAGGGGTGTTTAGAGAACCTATGGACATAAGCATATAGGTCTGTAGAGGTGCATACATATAATTATATGTATGGAATTCCATCGAACAAAACTCTTCCGCAAATATGGCTTCATAACAAATTTATATTGGTAAACTAAATTTCTAAATTCAATTGCCATTTATCGATAACATTTAATTGTTATAAAATTTATTGATAGATGGCATTTGCATTTATAAGTAAAATATAATTAATGATTTTAAATTTGAAATAAATTTTAGTATGCTTATGCTGAAAAAAAAAAAGAAGCCTACAGCACCCGGTGTTCCCAGGTGGTCACCCTCCCAAGTACTGAACGGGCCCGACGTTGTTAAACTTCGGTGATCGGACGAGAACCGGTGTTTTCAACGTGGTATGGCCGTAGGCGAGAGTTGTAGTTTATTTTGTATATTTAAGTTGTATATATTTTAAAAAGAAATGAGAATACTACAATTTTTCTACTTTTAATTTATAAGTCTTCTTTGCAGTAAAAATAGTTCTCCAAGCAATTGTCTGGGAGACAGATTTTTATTTAAAAAAAAGGAAATCAAAGTGAGATGTAGTGAATATTAAAATGAGTTTTAAAATTAAAACCAATGAAATGTATATATGTGATAATTTGTATATAGCAATATGTAACCCCACCACAACCTATGCAATGTTTTGTCAAAAGATTTAATAAAAGTTAGGCTTCGCGAAAAAAAGGAACAACAATTAACAGGATTGCATCATCCAGGAAGTAAAGGTCACTGCCCAGGACCCCCATAAAACTAAAGTTCAAAGACCTTCTTCTTCCTGGAAGATTGCAATCATGGCGACAATGGGGGTACTAAGACAATCACAGTTAAGCATGACAAATCAACAAACAATCAGCTTTAAGCATGACCAACTAATAGCGAATCAGAAGCAGGCACGTAGAATGATCTCCCCGAATGAGAAGCCGAGAGAGTTAATGACGAGGATCTCGGACAAGAAGTTAGAGAGAAGGTAGGTGACCGGGCTAGAAGCAAGGTGTGCTCAACTTAGGCTCCAACCAAGGTAAAGTCCTCTCGACCATGTGAAAGGCAAAGGTACCTCCTCCAGTCGCATCACTCTCTCCCTTTCGCAAAGTCCATGTTCTATCCCATCCAGGTGTGCTCGTTATTTCCTCTGTGGAAACCCACCATTCGACCAAGACTGCGCCATCAATCATCAATTCAACATAATCCGACATAGGATTCACCACAATTCACCAATCCCACAGTAGGTCGACAGGAGTCAACAGGATCTTACACAGGTAAACAACAGGATCCGACAGAGAGTTGACAGGATCCAACCCGAATTAGTATAGAGAGTCGACAGGATTCAATCGATTCTCACATAGAGTCGACAGGATATGATGGAAAACGAGCCACCTCAAGACGCGAATAGGGAGGACGGGTAGGCCACCTCCGTGCCCGAAATAGAACCGACACGCACCCTGGCGGAGATTCTCCTGCAGTTGACCGCCGTCCTGACGCAAGTGGGGTTGACCCATCGCGCGGAAGTGGACATTCCCCCCTTCGATGGAACCCACGCCGCCCACCAATTCTTCCAGGCCTACGACCGGAAGATGGACGAAGCCCTCGTGACCACCCCCGAAAAGTTGCTCAGGTTGCCTCGCTACCTGACGCGCCAAACCCTGGAGCTCTTCAGGAAACTCTGGTTGGCCACCCAGACCTACTTTCAGGTGAGGCAAACCCTCCTGGATCTCTACCCGGAATCCAACGAGGCGTCCTTCGCCAAGTACTCCACCATGAAGCTTGCTGGGCAGGCAAGCCTGGAGGAGTACTACCGAGGGAAGACAGCGCTGGGCATGCAACTGGGTCTCCCACAGGAGGTAATCCTCGAGACACTGACGGAGGGATTGCCGCTCCCCGACTAGCGCCTGGTCCGCGTGGTACCTCCTGAGAGCCTGGGAGAGTGGTTCCAACTGGTGCAACGGATCCACGGACCAAGCGCACCAACTTCGCGTCACTGTTGGTGTTTTTGGGGGTAAAAAAGAGAAAATGTTACTTAAATATATTTTTAATATTATCTTTATGCATAGAAACTACAAAAGTAAAATTAAAGAATCAAGAAGAATTACAAAAAAACAAGAAAGGATCAAGAAGGCACTAACTACGTTGCCAAATCGTTAATTAACATATGCTAGCTAATATTATCATCATCAATTTATATTTATTCATATATCTATATAATGTATTTACATAGAAAAAAATTATTTGAATTAATATTCCTAACAAATCCCCCCTTTAATTCAATCTCAATTTTTCTTCAGAAATATAAACAGTTAAAAAAATCAAACATAGATGGCGTTACCTCGCCATGCTTTCACTTATATACAACGAAAATTGCAATTTATACCGCGAATGTTTCTTTTATAAAAATCGAAATTTATTTTCAAAGAGAAATAGCGACATTTCTAACTTTAAGGATGAAGTATGGAAAGGTGAAAGATGAAGAGCAATGGCGAACGGAAAAATAAAAAGTGTCCAGGGGCGGGAAACGAACCCACACCCTTCTGCTTACCGGGCAGGTGCCTTGTCCACTCGGCTACCCTGGACGTATTTTTCCGTTCGTAACTTTTCCCGCCCCTGGACACTTTTTATTTTTCCGTTCGCCATTGCTCTTCATCTTTCACCTTTCCATACTTCATCCTTAAAGTTAGAAATGTCGCTATTTCTCTTTGAAAATAAATTTCGATTTTTATAAAAGAAACATTCGCGGTATAAATTGCAATTTTCTTTTTACAATCATCAGCCGCGTTATATTGTACTTATATACAAGCTTTTGTTTTTATGCCAACTGATCTCTGAATCTTGATCCCTTGATCTTGATCACTGAAATGATCCCTTAAAAATTTTTGAAGCCTGCGGCGCTTTAGTTGTGCTTGGTGCTGCCTTGGTTCCCTCATAAACGGCGCGCACTCGCCCTCTTCTCCCCCGGGGTGCCCACGGCTCTGCCGGCGCCTCTCTAGCCCTCTCCTTGGCCCTCCATTGCGGCGGGCGCTTGGTGACTCTCAAAGATGTTGTGCCTTAAAATGCTTACCCGAAAGCATGTAGAAGGCGGATTAATCGATAATATTTGTTTTTATGCCACATTTTACATAAAGTGAAAACATATGTCAAAAACATATTTTAAAAAATATAACAAGTGAATTTATGTACACACATTTTTAATAAAGCTATATATATATTTCCATATTTAAAAATGTTATAAACATATAATGTTTTTCCCTTGTTAAGGCCTTAGTAAAAATATCTGAAACATTTTTATTGGTGGGCACAAATAAACAACCTGATTCAAATTAGAATGTAAAAATAAAATATTTCTAATCATATGATTTGATTTATCATTTGTCATTCCTGATTTACAAAGAAATATTGTTGATTGGTGTGTGTGTGTTATCACAAAACAAATTAATTTTATATTTTACACTAGTAAGTTCTTCAATAAGTTATTGTAAATATATGCCTCTTTTTAAACATTGCACAAGAGAAAAAAAGTTCACTTTCACATGTAGATAAACATACTGTAGGGATTGTTTTTGCTTGCCAGCTTATTAAATTATTTCCAAAATAAAAAGTCATACCACTTGTTGATTTTTGTGTTCCTCTACCACATTTCCATGATGCATCACTATAGCCATTTAAAATATTTTCTCCCTTAGAGTAAACTAATCCAAGGTCTTTTGTTCCTTTAAGATATCTTATAATTCTTTTTGCTGCACTAAAATGGATTTCTCTTGGATCCTGACTAAATCTGCTTAAAAGTGATGTGGAATATGAAATGTCAGGCCTAGTTTTAGTAGCAAGGTAAACTAAAGATCCAATAATTTCCTGATATTTCTTTTTATCAATTACCTTTGAATTATTAAAATTTTCCAAATCAGTATATACATCAAGGGGTGTATGAACAGTTTTACAATCTAACATATTATATTTTAATAAAAGTTTTTCAATGTATTTTTGTTGTTTTAGAATTATTTTGTCATTATATTTTAATATTTCAATTCTTAAAACACTTAAAAGATTAGAATTTTTCTTTATTTTAAAACAAAGTGTTAACTTATTTAAAATATCATTTAAAATTTTAGAATCAGTATTACAAATAATGATATCATCAACATAAAGTCCCAAAAGAAGAATTGAGTCATTAATTTGGTATGAAAGTAAGCATTTATCTGAATTAAAAAATTTAAATCCTATCTGAAGAAGATATTTAGTAAAGGTTTCATAAAAGACTCTGCCTGCTTGTTTAAGTCCATAAATGGCCTGATTAAGTTTACAAACAAATTTCTTACCTTCTTCTTGATATTCAAATCCTTTAGGCTGTGACATGTATATAGTCTCTTCCAACTTACCATACAAAAAGGCAGTTTCTATATCAAAATGATGAATATGCAAATTTTTCATTGCTGCAAAAGCAATTAAAGTCCTTAGAGAATCTGATTTTATCACAAGTGAATAAGTTTCTGAATGGTCTACTCCTAATTTTTGTGAGCATCCTACTGCAACTAATCTTGCCTTATATATGGGATTTAAAGGATCATGGCTATTTTTAATGGAAAACACCCATAGGGAAAAACTCTTTGAATTAATATTCCTAACAGTCACCACGAGGAACAACCGCCCAACATGTCGGGCCCATACACCAAGAAAAACAGGTGCGTGGACTGCACCTGCACAGCCGTCGAACTGCAAATTCTGCGGCGCCCACCACTGGCATTCTGAATGCCGCAACAATCCAGATCCACACGCGAGCGCGCGGGCAGTGCAACCAGCCCAACATCCACCACAAGACCAATCCCAAGCCGCCCGAGACACCCCAGTCTTTCACCAACCAGGTAGGAAGGCACCAACTTTTCGTCAGCCAGCTGACGATTAAACTGCCCATCACCCATGAACTCTCATCCCCTTTCCTAATTGACACAGTGGCAAGTCTGAACATAGTGCCCCATTACTTCTATAAAAAGTTAAAAAATAACCTCCCTCAACTAAAACTTAAAAAACAGCCCATAAGCCTAGAGGCCATAAGCGGTCCTGTACCGACCTTAGGTCGTATAACCCTCCCCCTGACAATAGGTAAAATAACCAAAAACGGGAATTTCCATGTGGTGGAAGCACCTCTACCATTTGAAATTCTCGGTATAAATACCCTCCGAAAATTTAAAATAACAATAGACTTTAACCAAGGCACTATGTTCCAACTCGCCGCCCCATTGCACCCTACCACCTACCATTTTGCTCATATACCAAATGGATGCGCCTATTGGGAATGCCAAGCGGAGTCACAAAGGACTCACATGGCACACAAGCCTTCCGCACACGGCACCCAATGCGCGCCTCGATTGGTCAAAAAC